CGCTGCGGCTCCGCACACCCAGCCTCACCTGGGCACGGAGGTCCCATCCTGCCTGCCGCCGCTCCGCAGCTGGTTTTAAATCGCGCGCCGAGAGGTCCGAGGGCAGTTAACGGCCGCGCTGACGTCACCCGTGGGCGGGTCGAAGGCGCGCCTGCGCAGGTCGCTGGGTCCTCAGCGCGGGGATCCGCACTCGGGAGGCGTGGTCGAGGAAGTCCGGGGCGGCAGTGTCCGGGGTCGGGTCCTGCGGGCTGACTGGAGGGGGTCCGTAGGCTGCCCCCGGGAGAGTATAAAGTCTCTCCTTTTGGGCGCTGGGCGCGGAACTGGGCGCTGGAGTCCCCGTGTGGAGCAGGGCGGGCGAAGATTCTGCTTTCACGGACTTGACTTACTGGTGGGGAAGGCCGAGCGCCAGGAAACGAGGTTCATTTCCCTTCGCTGTGAGGGCGCGTGGGGGCCGGAGGTGAGGGAGCGGACCCCGCGGTGAGCGTTCCAGGCAGGAAGGGCGGATGCGAAATGTTTCATGTACATTTTAAAAATGAAGGCCATCGTTTTTATTCAGATTCTTGCGGAAAGCTACCTGGATCTCTACCCCTAGCCCCCTAAAAAAAAAAAAAATTAATGTCGAATGTGAGGCGAATGCTTTGTTCTGCTTCGTCTGATCCGTGGATCTGATTCCAAGAATTATTAGGGGAGGGAAGGCCAGGGTAATTTCTCCAAGCGTTCCTAGGACATCCTATAATTTCTGTAACACACATCTGGCATTTTATATAGTGTTTCTTCCCAAGGGTGCCATTGGCATTCAGGATGAAACAATTCCTGACAAGTGGGACTCCTGTCCTCTGTAGGACTAATCAACATCCCTGACACCATTTGCCAGCCAGATGCAATTGTGCCCCTCAGCCAATCTGGCAACCAAAAAAGTACTACTCTTTGTTGAAAGTCGCTTTTTTAAGCCTATTTGGTTTTTGCGTGATCTTGTTTTCCCAGTGATAGAGGAAAGAAAACACCGTATGCTTCATCCCCACAAATGACTCCAGCCACCCAGGAGCCCTCCTGGACGCCTCCCCCTCCCACTCTCCACCTACAACTCACTGAGTTCTCTTTACTTCCTAAAAACCTCTTCAATCCTGTGTCTTTCCTTGTCCCCACACTTGGCTGGTCTGCAGCAGCCCCACACCAGCTCTGGTCCCATTCTCTTATCTTTGGGCCCAGGGTGGCGGTTGCCAAGTACAAATCGGACCTGTCACTTTTTCCCCAATGTCTAAAACCATTTGAAGGGAACTAAATTTTTGCCACCCTTAAGCTGCCTTTTTGGGATATTGATTTTAAGCTGTTTATTAGGAAATAAGACTCAGAAAAAACCTTTGACCCTTACTCCTTTGCTGCCCAAGAGATTCAAACAGAAAAACCTGCTTTAGGAAGGGAGCCTTGGCTTAATCACCTTAGCTTTCTGTAGCTTTAGTCAGGGACTGCAGGCCTGTTAGCTAGATCCCCCGTGTCCCATTGTTTCTGAATTGCCTGGCAAGAATTTCCTGCCATGTATGTTCCACTCTTCAACTACTTATAAATCTCCCATTCTCATTTTAGAAATCTAGTACCCCATTCACTCCCTTTCTCTTTTGTTCAAAAATGTCGTATATACTGAATGTTGCCTCACTGTCTTGAACTGTTTATGTTTGCGTGAATTTCCCAGAAGCACGTATTAAACATTTTTCTCCTGTTAATCTGTCTCAGTTCATTTGATTATTAGCCTAGTGAGAAGAACTTACAAGGTGGAAGGAAAAGTATTAATTTTTTATTTTAGCCCCCACACACATTCAAAAATTCCATTGCTCTGGGAACTTTTAAAATGTTCTGCAAGGTCCTAGGATCCTGTCCCTGCAGCCTCACCAGCCTCATCTTGCACCTTGCCTCCCTTTGTTCCCTGCCCTCCTATCACTTGGGCCTTCTTTCAGACTCACCCTCACCATGCCCACTCCCAGCACAGGGCCTCTGGCACATGCTCTGTCCTCCACATAGGATTCTCTTCATCCCCATCTGCACCCAGTTAGGTCACGTCACTTCCTCAGGGAGGCCTTCCCTGATATACTCAAGTGTCTGTACTGGAGGCTTTAGCAGAACTTGTCACCTGTGCAATTTTACATCTGCTGGGGTGACTATTTCATGTCTATCCCTTCCATAGACTGCCAACTCTATGAGGATGAAGCTGTGTCCTTGCTCACCTTTGTTTTCCTTGGACTTGGTTCTAGCCCTGGACACAGCAAACACTTAAATTTGTATTGAAAGAGTGACACCGGAACACAAGTTTAAATCCTAGATTGGGCATCTTAACCTCTCTGGGCCTCATCTCCTTTCCCATTTATTGAACAGTGTAATGAGAATACCTCCTTTCACTGGGCTTTATGAGGAATTAGTAACAGATTAAACTCCCTTGACCACATAGGGTCAGTATACCTTAGGGTCGAGGAGTGTGAGCCTCTGGATTCTATGTCTGCACCTTCTAAGAGCAGTGGGTGCTGGGAAGGTGGTAGGTGGCACAGAATCAGGAGCCTCTGAAGAACTGGCTTGGAAATCCTGGCAAAGAAAGGCTACTAGGTGACCCATTAGGTAAGGCATGAGGCTGTTCTGTGGTTATAATAGAGCCTCCTAAGCTGACTGTTTGGGGCTCCATGTGCTGGGAGGAAGGGGCCCGCTCCACCCTCTGCTCTCTGTGAATGCAGGTAGCTCATTCACCTCCCACTCTGAATGCTCATCTTTTGTTTTGGAGGATTAGAAGTATAGAGGGTGTCAAAAGATTGAATCAATGGTGTCAATGGTGTGCAACACTCAGTTACCCTGTCTATACAAAAGTAAAGTAGTGGGACCCCTCCCCCATCCCTTCTCAGCAGAAAAGCAATGCTGAGGCCATTCACCTTCCTCATTTCACTCCTCACTGAGATTCTACTGCCCCCAGATGAAAGCAAACAGCCTTAGTTTAGGCGAGAAACAATAGTGTTATAAATTGGCTCCCTGAACAAGCAATTTTTTGGCTTCAAATTTGCCCTGAACTTGCAGCTTGCAGCTGGCTTTTATAATAATGTAGTTCATGATACAAACCATGTTGTCACTGGGGCTCAAAGGACACATAGTTGAAATGGCTTTACATTAATTTTGGTCTCTGAGCAAATGCCTTTAATTTTGTGATATGAAACTCCCAACGTCCTAAAGACTGGGCTAAGAACCAACGATTTTGTCTTCTGGAATTTCCAAACAACATACCACCCTTTGGCTTAAAATTAATACACTGCTTTTTGCTTTTCAAAGAACTTTAAGCTCTACATGTTGTTTGATTCCCAAGATACTGCTGGAAGGTTGCTGGGACAGGTAATTTCCTCCAGGCTCTGCCATTTACCAGCTATGTAACCTTGGGGAAGTTGTGTGCCCTTTCTGTGCCTATTACCTCGTTGGTAAAATGGAGACGGTAAAGCACCAACTTCATGGGGTGCTAGCGTGAGGATTAAATGAGTTACCAGATGTGAAGCATTTAGAACATTGGCAATGCTCAGTGAACGCTACTATTTTCATTACTATAACTGCTGTTCTATCCTGGGTGCCAGCCAGGTATTGTTTTAGAAGAATACTCAGCTTCCTAAATATCTGGAGGTTTCCCCTTTCATTGTAGTATTCCCAGAGCACTATGGCTCTGTTCTTCCTACTACTTGTTTTTTCTATGCTCTTTCTTATACCTGCTGCCCCACCCAAGCTGTGCTGACTGTTCCCTTTGTCTTCTGCCTGCTCATAACTTCATGTTTTCTTTCTTGCCTCTTACTAGTCTAGAAACCCCGCAGTGCTAGAACATAATACCACCTTCTCACTACCTGACAGACTTATGCTCGCTAGAACTTATGTATGTTGTCTGTAACACACTAAGATCTTTCAGTTTCGCTGATATTTTGGGTTGGGCACCCATGAAAATGAATGACTTAGATGTTCCTTAACATTCTGAATTATTCTTTTCTGGCTATTGGCCAGGCCACTGGGAAACCACAGGGCAAACTTGTTCAAGGCACATTGAGAAACACCAGGATGTGCTGGATGAGCCATCAGGGTAATGTGAACATCGTGGGAACAGGCTGTGAGAATGCTGATCTGCTGTGTGTGTTATTGTACAGATTCCAACTGATACAGAAAATAGTCTCCTTTATTTAGAAAGAAACACCAGTAAATTATTTTCTAAACAAAAAGCATATGGATGTTTATAATACATCAAAATCCCACCAGCTGGAACCAACCATCACTGCATCTTAACCTGAAAGCAGTTCCGGCAGATACCAGCAGACAACATGGGAACACAGTAGCTACTGAGTAGTGGGAATCCCAGATATTGACTGGTATCAGCTTCTGGGACACTTGTAATTTATTTTTGCTTGGGGGAGGGTGTGGATTCTACAACCAAAGCCCATACAGCCAGCATCTTAACACCCCTGAGGTCAAGTTAAATGTGCGGCCCGGTTCTCTTCCGAGCAGATCTTCCTGGCTTGCAACGTAGGAACAGCATTGGATTTCCAAAACAGCCACACCCACAACTATTGTCACATTTCTTAACCGTCCTCCTCAGGCTGCCCAGGGTTTTAAAGAACAGAAAAATAGATCAATCACATCTCCAGAATCGCGACTTTGTTCGAGTTGGACAGCTTCATAGTCCCTTCCAGTTCAGCCCTGCCAGAGATCGACTGTTCTGACCTTTCTTTGAAAAACTGCAAATATAGTTCAAGTAATCCCTTTTCAATCTTTGAAAAGAGAATATAAAGGCATTACCAGACTGAGAAAAGGCACAGCTACACATGGTAGCTAAAACTTCTTCCTATTTAACAAACAGGTGGCTTCCCTCAGAAACAGCTGTTCATCTCAGAGCCCCGAAAAGATCACCCTCTTTAAGGGTTTTATAATGTTGCTTCCAGGCACTGAGAAGTCATCAGATGTTGGCCATTTAATTTTAGTAAACACATTATCTCAATTATGGGACAGGTCACTATTTACTTAATATTTGTGAATCAATACTAATAAATTACTTGAGTAGTACTGGAATTTTTTCAGGTGCATAAAAACAGCTATACTGTCTCATATAAAGATTAGGCTAAATTAAGAAAACAAAAAATAAACATCTTGGTTATATCTTCAAATAGTGAAAGTCTGAAAAATTAGCTCCTAAAATATGAGGAGTGAGCTGGAATGGAGGTATTCTGATTCTTTCATTTCCAGTGTTGATACAAAACACAACTTCACAGGCCACCTCTAGATCTCTTTAGCAGCAAGATCCTCCAACAACATCCGTTTCCCTGGGCTCTCTGTGGGTCATGATGAAAGTTAAGTCAGGAGAAGAAAAGCTCTGAAGACCCACTGGGACCCATCTTTGTGACCACGAACTCCTTAAAGTGTCTTAATCTATCATAACCCCTATGCACAAGGTAAAGGTCATATACACCACTGATGTATCTGAAAAATAAACTCTTTTGCAGCCTGAAGAATCGGAAATATGCCCTGGCCATTGTTGCTCAGTGGTAGAGTGTTGGCTCGTGCACCGAAGGGTCAGGTTCAATTCCACGTACTTGGGTTGCAAGTTCGTTCCCTGGCCCCTATTGGGTTGCATGAGGGAGGCAATCAATCGATCTCTCTTTCATACACTCTTTTCCTTCCATTCTCTCTAAAAATCAATGAAAAAAATATCCTCTGGTGAGGATTAACAACAAAAAAAGAACCAGAAATACCTTCTCCCCTTTATTCATGGCCTTTACATTAATGTGCCCCAGCCAATGGGGCACAAGGCAGAGCTTTCACCTGGGTCAGAAGGTTATGGAACTCTTCTAGTGCCTGTGAATGTGCCATGGGGTTTAGCACCAGGTGTTGAAAGAGATTGACAGGCTTGGCATTCCGAAATTTCTTAGGGATAGGGATGGTCAGGGGCAGGAAGCTGTTACCAATGAGGAAATGATGGAGGGACCTCTGCTGGAGGCCACGGCCCAAGAACCAGAGGATGTCCTGGAGCCGCTGGGAGAGCATGCTGTGCTGCCAGTCCGTGAGGGGCAGCCACAGCAACAGGTGCATGAGGGCTGTTTTGAAGTGGTAAGAGGTAAGGATGGGACAGGATGCTCCCTGGGGTAAGCTCTGAAGGTCCTGGAGACTTAAAATGATCTGGAGGCACTTGAGGTGACAGGTGTTCTCCGGAGCAAAACGCCCTATTAGCTTCAGGAACAAGTGCTCACAGGCTGCAAAGGACTCGGGCCAGTCCACATTAGTGAGCTGTTCCTGGTCAGGGGCCTGACTCACCAGATAGACCAAGGTATCTTCCCTTTGCACCCCCAGGACCAAGCGGATTGAGAGGAAGCGGCCTGAGCGATAGTCCAGCCTGAGCTTGCAGGAAGTGGTAGACGGTGGGAGGCTGAGCTGAAAGTCATACTTGTGAGCCACGAGGGCCCAGGCATTGCTCACCATGTTCCGGAACCACTGTACGGTCTTGCATACATCCAGGTGGGAGCCGGTGCAGAGGGCTGCTTTGATGGAGCTGCTGCACTTGCCCAAGAGGCCCGAGTGGTCCCTGTGGTGGTGCACCAGGCACAGAACATCCCCCAGAAGCTTCTCGCGTTTGCACACGCATTCTGACTCCACCAGCACACTGCCACAGCGGCGGCCTAGAGATGGATCCCTCATCTCCAGCACAAACATGGAGCCCTGGGGGGGAACAATGGGCACCAGGATATCGAATTCCTGGGTCTCATGGAGGGTTCCCCATTTCTCAAAGGCAGCCCCGATGCCCAGGCAGTCCTCCAGCTGTGGGTGAGCCTCCCAGTGGCTGACCACCTGGCGGCTAAGCACCCGACAGGCCTCAATGAGGTCGTCCACAAAGCTCTCCACAAACTCGCAGGTGCAGGGCAGGTCACGGGTGACATTCTGGACATAGTGTTTGTAAAAGGATTCCAGGGCCTCCTGTGAAGGGAAGTCAGTAAGCCAATTGTAGGAGGTGGCAGGCACCACCTGGACTTCCTCCTCCTCCTCATCACTGCTGGAATCAAAGGCTGGCTCGTGCTGCATGTTCTGTCGCAGAAGCTCAAAGATGAGAAAAAGGCAAAAGAGGCCGGCATTCCACAGGTTTTCCAGCATCCAGCTCAGTGGCCCCTCCTTGGCCTGGAACGGCCACCCCATGTCTTTCCTTCCGAGCACTAGCTGGTCACTGGATGTGTCTCCTCTCCACAAGTTCTGTGCCTTCTGCTTCTGCTCAGCTGCTCGCTTTCTCTCTTCAAACTCTATCTCTAACTGGCGCATCTCCTCACTCATGCGCTTCTCCAGCTGCCGACTTCTGGCTAATGTGTCCAGGTCCATCCGGTCGCTGACCATCAAGGGGTGGTGAACAACATACATCACTGCCAAGAACAGAAGGCTTAGCACAGCCATGGAGGCCTCTGCATCTGGAGAAGTAGGGGTGGGAGTCAGTGGTAATCTTCAGGACTCATCTGCTCCCCCAGTGCATATTCCCCAGAGTCCTGGATCCCTAAATCCTGGAAGCCAACTACCCAGGATGAACAGAAAGCTCAACAGAGCTGGGTTGAACAGAGCCTGGGTGATCTGCCCCGAGGAGTTTTGGGAGAAAGGGGGACAGCAGGATATGCCTCTCAGTCTCTCTACTGCTTTCCTTCCCCATGGTGTAAGTGGTATTTAGGCTTCCAGACTGTGGACATGGGACTGCTTTCATCCCTGTGTAGGATGGGGAGGGGCATCCTAGTGGTAGGGTGGCCTTACCCAACTCATCAGTCCACCATGGGAACCAGGTGTGCCCTGTTGATCCTAGAGGCTCCCTTCCACGGGCAGGAAGCACTGGTCTGCCTGGGCAGTACCTTTCCTCTTGCCAGGCAGTCAGACCCAGGCCCCACTTGTAGCATCCCACTTACACTGTGACTTCACAGTCCTCAATTCTATCTCTATCACCCATTGTCTTCAGACAACTCAGCCTCTTCTCCCTGGTGCCCAGTGGTCCAACTCCCAGTGAGCACCAGAGAGGCACAGTGCCCAGCCACCTCTCCACTGCTTGCTGCTGTGCTCTCTGAGGTCCTAAGGGGGTTGCCGGATGCCTCATCAGGGCCCATAGGCAGGCACAGCTGCACCTCTCAGCCTAGGAAACTTGTGAAAGGCCCGGTGGCCAAGGCCACCTGACAGCTGACAGTAGTCGGTTCCTCTGCCCCCCCACCCAGCACAGAGGCCTGACGCTTCCTGTATTCACCCCACTAGTTCACAAGCTGGCTGGGCTTACCGAGATCATGAAGGAAGGGCGCTGAAGACAGAAGGGGTCCTCTCCTCCCCTTGGAACTTGGCCTTGCTCAGGCTCACCCGAGCCCTGTTAAAATTTACAAGATACCTGGGGCTTTGGCATAAAGCAGTGTGCCCCCTCCATTCATAACCTCCCAAAATTCCACCCAAAGACCTGAGCACTCAAATGCCCATCCTCCCTGGGGTTTTCCCGGGACCTGGGGCCAGGTTCCTCACCATCGGTTGTCAGCGGGAACACGGTCTTAAAGAGACAGTGCGGCCTGACCGCTCCCGCCTACTTCCCCGCTGCGTCGGGGCTCCTGGTACCTCGCCGGGTCCGCCCGCGGGAGTAGCCCCATTTCCCTCTCCCGGGGAGCACACCATGTCTGTCCAAGTGTCCGGTGGTCTGTGCCCGCCGGCCGCTGAGACCAGACAGCAAGGTGCCGCGCGCGGTTCTG